GAAATATATATATTAAATCAAATTCATTATGTTGTAATTAGTATTATTAAAAATATAAGTTTAAACCGAAAAAGTATATTTTTAATTTCAATTTTAATTACAGTTTTAAAATTTAATTTTTTTAAAAACGAAATTATAAAGAATATAATAATTTGTTTTTTTATGTAAAGTGTACTTTTTCTGATTTTTCTATGAATCACAAATTAAATAAAATCGAAATTTAAACTTTATTTTTTAAAATTAAATATACAAAATAACAGAATAATTTTACAGAAACTTAAAATAAGCATTGAATTTGAATAAATTAGTTCTCATATTTTCCATTTTTTTCAAAGTTTGAATTTAATTTTTTGTCTTTGTATTTTCAACATTTATACACATAAATAATTATTAACTTAATTGTCAGGTACGTCACTACAGCGCTTTGCGGCGAGACTTGTCCATGTCCCAACATCGTGATTGCGATTCTATTTTGGATTGGGTATACGAATTCAGCATTAAATCCATTGATTTATGCATATTTTAATCGCGACTTTCGAGAAGCGTTTAAAAATACCTTGCAATGTGCTTTCTGTTCGCTCTGTAAACGAGAGCCATTGGATCTCGAAGCACTGGATTTTCGTCGACCATCCCTCAGGTACGAATTGGTCTGACAAATTAAGGTATGCATTTTATTTTATCACTTTATCTTTTTGAAATTTCATTAAAATTTTATTTGTTTTACTACTCTATTATTATTTACTCGATAAATTTAAGTCACCTTTGAAACACATTCAAAATTAATTAAAATGATTCTGATGGAAACTTTTTACTGAAATTTTAATAAATAATTATATTTATGTATGTACTGAGAATTGCATATTGAATGCAATTGACCCACTCCAATATTATCATATTAAAATTTTATTAACAATTCAATATAAAATATTAAGATTATGAAGAATTCAGTAAATTTCAAAATAAAAATCAATGAACGCAATAAATTTAATTAGAGAAGAATTACGTTTAAATCTGCAATATATATGTATATAGATGCGCAGTATTTTTGTATCTGCTACTTTGTAACTATTATTAAGTCGTAACTAGTAATCAATTAATCAAATTATTTATTTATTTTATATTTCAATATTGGCTCCTATACATAGAATATAGTAACGCTTACACAAGGCTGGGTAATACTTAAAATAGTTCTATTTTAAATATATATTTAACATGTAAATGGCATTTTACATTTTCCATTTTAAATAGTATTTGGAAAATCATTTTCATTTTACATTTGAAATGAAATCATGTCTATCATTCAACCATTTATAAAATAGGTAAATGCCAAATGGGTTTTTTATATTTTCGTAAATTTTCCTTGGAATCATGTATATGAATCAAGTCCCATGATTGGCCAAAGGTTTTTATAAATATTCAAACTGCAAATTAATCTGTAAAAAGAAAATTAATTCCAGATAGTCCATAAATATCAAATCTTAATTAAAAAATAAATGTTCCAGTTTTATTTAAAATATTATGTAGATTTCTAAAAATGTACATTACTCTTAACATCTAATTTTGATTGTAACCGACACTTCTCGTATTAATTTGATTTGTTCAAGTAAACGATCGCATTTCCAAATTATATCATATTAAAAAATTTTAAATAATCTCATCAGAAATACTTTATTTATAATACTATAATCAGGGCTTCGAATTCCATTAAAAATAGATTTTAAACGTAAAATATTTTTAAAAAATGTGTACTACCCTGGCGGAAAGTTTTTACGAAAAGATACATAGATTCAAATAAGATTTTAGAAATTCTTAGTTTTTCGTAGATATTCGTAGTGGGACGTAGAGTAGCATTATTTGAAAAACCAAGAAATCCTCTCACCTCAAACAATATTACTCTACGTCTCGCTACAAATATTTATGAAAAACTGTAGATTTCTGAGATAAACAAACCTCACTCTATGTCCCATTATGAAAAATTAAGAATTTCTAACATCTTGTCTCAATCTATATAGGTTTTCTGTACATTTTTGTAAAATTTTTTTTTACTAGGAAAACGATTTTGAAAACTATTTAAAATACCTATTTAAAATGGATTCGAAAGACCTATTTTGCATTTTAAATACACTTTTTAAAAGTATTTACAATTAGTATTTTAAATACAATTCGAAAGACATTTTACCCTACGCTTACACTGCGGCAGAAATTGGCGCGATAACCAATCAATTTACTTTTTTCATAAAAGCGAAAAATGATTGGCTACTGCATCGACTTCCACCGCATGTTGCTGTATGTATACAAAAATCGAGTCACTATCAATATTGCGTATGACAAATCTTTTGAAAATGTTATAGTTGACTAAAAAATTGAGGATTTCTGCAAACTTAAAAACTTCCCCAGGCAGAAATGATAATGAATGTCGATTCGATGTCGATTCCATTATCAGTTCTGGGTTCATTATTATATTAGGTGCGCAACTAAGTTCTCGCTGTTATTTTGATGCATTTTCATCAAAATAACAGCGAACTTAGTTGCGCACCTAATATAATCAATCGCTTTTAGAAAATTTGTTATATGATAAATTAATATCAATCTTTAGAGAAATTAAATTCGTGAATTTTTCCGTTCACTTCATTAGAATGAGAAACATACTAATGTTGTGCTGCACTGATACAGTATCAGTGCGCTCAGTGCCCTGATAAAGTGAATGGTAAATACTCACAAAATGTTGGTATTAGCAATGGATCACGACAGCGATAATCTTTTGGCATCTCTTAAGAAAGCACCCGTGAAAGTCTCAAAAGTATAAACCAAATTATTTGTTGTTTTGTTTTCTGTAATTGGCTTCAAGGCTTCAGAACTAATATCATCTAAATTTTTTGAATATTGGCTAATGAATGTTGGCTTGAATTTTTGCTAATATTGGCTGATATTAGCTTATCTTGGTTAATTAATTGACTAACACTTTTAACTAATATTGTATAGCTAAAACTTTCTTAATTTGAACATTTTAATTCTAGTGTTTCGTTTTCATTATCTTTTAATATATTCATTAATTTTTCTTAGAATTTATAGTATTTCAACATATTTCAATATACAACTTATGTTAATAAATCTATAAAAATATTGTATGGTTTGCATTACTTTCCTTTTTTTCATACATTTTTAAGAGAATTATGTTTAGAATTAAAATATTTCAGCATAGTTGAGTGTTCAATTTCTTTGAATATATCTAAAAATATTAAAATATTTGCATTATTTTTCGTTATTTTTTATTTCTCTTCGTTGTTTTTTATTAATTATCTCTAAAATTCATAGTATTTTAATATTAAAAAAGTATTTTAATATTAAAAATAGTACTAAAGTATTCAATAATATTTCGATTATTTTCATTTCACATTTCCACGATTTTACAGTTGATTTCAGCAATTTATTTCCACCAGGGAAGAGACAGTTATTATATATTTATAAAATTATAACTTCTTGATTTTAGCATAATTAAATAAAAAGATAATTTTAAATTTATACAAAGTAATGATATGCCTATTTTGAATATCATAATTTCGAAAACTATAAATTTATTTTTTATTTTCATATAGTCACATCAAGTTTTTATTAAATTTAATGATACAATTTAATCACATGTATGCATTTTTATCTATTTTTTAATCATTAAAATAAAGTGTCATATATATCATCAGTATCATGATATTACAATATATTGCCATATATACAGGGTGACTTTTAACATTTCGTCATCGATCATGAGCAGGTAGAGTGAATCGAACTGAGTCGAAAAGTCATCTACCATTTTGCAGTTTACGCAATAGTTAATGAGATATTAATTACTAAAAATTGCCAAATATTGGTCTTATAAATATTGGTCTTAATAATTTTTTTACTCAAATACTATCAACTTATAGAAAAACTGCAAAAGACAAAAATTGTTTATTTTCTTTTCATAGAACTCTAAAAATTTTTTCAGAATTTTTTTATCAGCTTAGTACTGCATTTTCTTATTTTTATCAACATGAGAAAATACAGTATTAAAAAATTCTGAAAAAAATTCTCAGAACTTTATGAGAAGAAAAGAAATAATTTTTGTCTCTTACAGCTTTTCTATAAAGTTGATAGTATTTGAGAAAAATTATTCAATATCAATATTTGGCAATTTTTAGTAATTAATATTTTGTTAACTATCGCGAAAATTGCAAACTAGTAGAAGACTTTTCGACTCAATTCAATTCACTCTACCTGCTCATGATGGGTGACAAAATATATTAAAATCATCCTGTATACAACAAAAGCATATTTAATTTATTTTTTGAAAAAATATTAAACAATTAATTAAAAATGAACACAGAAATTATTCGTCTAACTAATTAGAATGACTAGAAAAGGTAATATGTTGTATGTTGAAATTAATATTAAAAATAATCTCTAAATAATGAATATTGATTTCTTTGATATGCTATTGAAATTAATTGTGTTTGAATCAATTCGTCACATAAAAATTATATAAAATATCATAGAAATTGGTGCAACAATATTATTTATTGACATTATCGCATTATTGTATTTTGTGTGTCAATATAATTATTGCGACAATGTTTTATTGCCACTAATAATAAATAGTTATGTTTTGCATTAGAAATAATGCAACGAACAAAGAATAAAATACGCAAGGCATTTGGTTCCGATGACTAAGGCGTTATATTTGCAGTTCTAAGAAATGATCATTAAACTCATAAGTTAAATCTAATTTAATACGTGTGGATGTATGGCGTCATGTATCTCCATTTTCATTCCCTGCACCAATTACTCTATTATTCTGTTCAATTACATATACTGCGTATCTCGCACGAGCTGCATCCGCATGGTGTGACGATTAAACTGACAACTATATGAGAAAGAGATATTAAACGGAATGTTTATCTTTTCGTTATACACAACAAATGATTTTAACGCGCTGGTTTTTGTTTGAAAAATATTACGTAATATTAAAACATGATAATTTCTTGATTTTTCAACGAAAACTTAATCTACCTATTCAGATCAACTTGCATAAATCTGATATATTAATAGTTTAATATACAAGCAGACAAATAAAGAAAAGTTCATTTTTATTATATATTTACATTTAACGTTACAATATACATAAATATAGAAGCTATGTGCTTTGAGGATTACCATCGCATCCATTTCTTTTATATTAATTTTTTCTTGGTAAAAAGACTTATGTATAATTTATCATTTTATTAATATCTACAATATTATTCGTATCAAATAAACAATTATTTGACTTTTACTTTTTTAATATAAACTTAGAGTTAATATAAACTTATAAAGATGTAGAATGCGCAAATATATTTTTTATTTGTCGTATACAAGATGGCCTATGTACAAATTTAAATTGTGTTAATTTATCTAGCAAAAAGATTGACTAAAAGATTAAATTATCTTCATAAATTTTTTTTGAATAATTTACAGTTATACAATTAAATTATATAAACAATTGTATTCGATTTTTCCGAAATAACTCTGTTTAATTTTGTTTTAGATACGACGATCGCACCAAGAGCATATACTCAGAAACATACATAAAGAACATTGATCGACGAAGATCAAGTGAATTTGGCAGCAGTCTTTGAGACGAAACTACGTTCCCAAGATTCTAAAAGCGAGTGCAAAAAATACCAATAACATCTATATACAACATTCATCATATATATAAATAGACGCGTTCATCAATTAAATATAACTAACATACACACAACACAATGCGCGCGCGCAAACACAATCATATCGAGACATTATTCAACACTTTGCCAAATAGATGAAAATGAAGAGGATAAAAAGAGTCATCGATTTTTTTTCACGGTGACAATAAATACACACGAATATGTTGAATATCTTATATAAAGCTGGAAATAAGCATGTATACATAGATTATATCATATTGCCAAAGTTAGATTTTTAAGCTTTTGTAGCTAATGAAAAGTGTGTCGTGTTTCGTAAGAATCAATAAAATCGTGCCTGTGGAAGAACATAAGAGATTCCGACTGAACGAACTTTGCTTAATACGAAATGGCTTCTGCGAATATTTTCGTAAGATACCTAAATGAATATAATTTTAAAAAGCCACGAGGGAGTCTTATTGGTCCCATATAAATCTCTTAATATATTTTCTTATAAAAGTTCTAAGATGTAATTCTTTCCCATCTTTGATGGCCTCTTTTTGATCTGAATCTCATGATTTTACTGATAAAATTGGTTTTCTTTTCTACATTATAATAATTCTTGTAATAATTTTGTTTTATTTTGTAGAAACAATCTGATTTGATTATTTCAAATTACTACCGAATTTTTGTGATTTGATTGATGTATCATGACGAAAAAAATGACATACAAATACATATGTATGCACATATGTATACATATACATACATATGCGCATATACAAATATAATATAATTGAAATGAGAATGTGTGTGTGTGTGTGTGTGTGTGTGTGTGTGTATGCTGGGATCGATTCTATACAAATACTCACTCATAGATATAAAAGTAATCGTGTTTATTTAATATCTCACGCCATGACGCTTCGCTTGTCTTAGCGCCGAGACACTATTGTGTCTCCAGATTTAATTCAATTTATTATTTATTAATTTAATTCAAAATGATAATATATTTATAATGATTCTAAATATATCTTATTATTAATCCTCCGTGAACCAGGTGGAATATGATATACCCCAGCAAGATGAATTTCTATAACTTTTTAAAAAATACCACGTGCATGTTGCCGGTTTCGTGCAACTGGAGAATGCGTTGTTATCGCAATCTACTAAATTGTAGTATATTTATAATGAAGTATAGCACGGAGTATGAGATATACCCACATATGATTCATTTTCCACTTGGTTCACGGAGGATTAAAGTATCGTTTTTTGTTATTAAATTTCTTGTTATTTATTACTGTTTCAAGAAAGTTATTCGTGGAAATTAAACAATACATTTCGTTATAGTGTTAAAATAACTAAAATAAAATAAAGTATGTAAAAATTATGTGTTACTAAAAATGAAAAAGACAGATACGGAGTGATCCAGAAGCACCGTTTTAAAAATTAATCGATGCAATAGGTACTAGTCAGTATCAATGAAAAGAAGATTCATGCTCGATCTGTACATTTTAGGTCACGTTCTAATAAATGTACGATTTTAATGTCGATTAAGTTCTAATTGGCTGAGATTACAGCCACTTACATCTCTTATAACTAAAATGCTGAATACCTAGATTCTAGATTATAAACTATAAGATACTATTCTATTAGAGCATTGATTTACATATAATTCTGCAAATTACAAATATTTTACATATTTTCTCTAAATATCTTAATTCATAAATTGCCTTTATGAATTTCAATTGATTATATCAATGGTAGAACTGCAGGATTGTGATATATGGGTATTATAACATACATTCTCTATTTAAGAATCTTATATTTAGTCATATTTATCGAAAGAGTATGTAATTTTTTGGTAATTTAATAGATATCAAGAAAATTTTAACATAATTATAACCGTTATTGTTACGTATTCTTGGCCAATTGCGCCTTTGATTTTCTCTATTGATCGTCATTGATTTTCCATCTCATTGACGTCGTCACTTTGAAGTCATAAAATTAACATTCTATACATGATTGAAAATACTTTCTCAGTACTCGTTATAAATGGAATATGTTCAAGCAACTTTTGTTATACAGAAAAGGCTTGATACAAGTCACAACAGTATTATTACAATATTATATATAATGTTCATGTATTATACGGAAACGAGTTATATCATAATGTATCATGAACGTCACTCGGTGATTTGAGGCGGATTTAATTTTTATGTAAATAATATCGACATTATGTTTCAATTACGTTGTCATTATATCGAAAGATGAACGCAACGTTATGACTTTTAGTTCCTACTTTTATTATTTTATTTTTCATTCTTGTTGTGATGATAGTTACTGCTAGTTATTTCGAATAGTTACTTCCCTACTATAATACTTATATTAAAATATATATTAATTTTTTTGTTTACAAAATTTACTATTCGAACATATTGTATTAACAGAATTTACTAACTACAACAATTTTTAATAGAATTTTTTTTAGTAAATCATCGCTACCTTCATTAAATGAATTTAGTTTCTTTCTGTTTCTATCCTAGCATTCTTTCAATAAAATCTTTGAAAAAATCGTTCTCTCAATCAACTCTCGTTTCGTATAAATGGCATGCGAATGTTGAATAAATAAAAAAAAAAAATTGAAAAGACTCATTTTCCAGAATAATAAAATGATAATGATGATGATGAGCCTTTATTTGAGTCCAAACGTATTTTTATGTATACTTTTTGTTTTCTAATCGCGATTGTTTTCAGTGAAAATCACATAAAATTTGTATCGATTTAAGTCCCCGTGATATTTGTAACACCGATCTAAAATCTAGTCCAGTATAGGATAAAATAATACCATCTTTAGTCGATTAACGTCGCATTGTGTTTCGCATTGATTATCGGATGAGAATGATTAATATTAGCTTCTTATTTAACATGTATGATAATACACGCAAATGATTATTGCGACATATATTGAATGATTGGCAATTGCGACGAATTATACGATGTTTTCACTGACTCTTGCAGTTACGTATTTATGATCGAATGTGGAATAATTAAATAATTCCATACTAATTTTGCCAATTTTATTGTTGCAGTAATTAATTAAATAAAAATATTTAGTACGTACATTAAAGATGAGATGCTCAAAGATGTTATTATATCATTAATCTTGGGCTATTGTAAACTTAGATAAGTTTAATTGTTATTAGAAATGAGCAATTAGAAAAAGCTATTTTATTTGAATTATTAAACGCGCTTGTTAAACAGTGAAAATTATTGATTGTAATTTATAATAAATTTATAATTTATATTTGAAATTTGTATACCTAATGGAAACGTTTAATTGTTTGATTATTTGTTACATGTTATTATTTTAAAGATTTCTTTTTATCACTTTAATATTAAATATGCATAACAATCATACAAAAAATTATTGCTCATCTCTGATAATGATATTCTATCGACAGTAAAAAACACACACATCCACACATTAGCTATTTCAGTTAAATAATGGACAATATCGCAATATTAAATCACCTTTATGATAACATAACAAACTCTTTCTGTACTTGTCGGATATCAGTTATCATTAACTTTATTAATAATTCCTTGAATTATCATTGCAGATGACAAATCATTTAGTATAATAGAATTTGTCGAGCTCTTTATTCTAATTTATTTACTTCTAAATCTGTTTTATGTCGATTTATTGTTTCCTAAATTATTGTATATTTTATATTAAGCAATAATTTTAAGGATATCATTTTATACGTTCACAATTATTTTTAAATTATTCATATATTAATTACGTTCGTTTATAAAATGTAACACTTTCGAATTATCGGTAGTTAGCCTGTTAGTCAATATTCAAAGTTTGTTTAAATTGTTATATTGTACAGGTATGATATATATATATATATATGTTATTCGTTATTGCTTCTGTGATAAAAATTAGGAAAACTGTCGAATTTTATTATTCATTATTTGTACATAGTTGTAAATATATACATGTATTAATTCGTATTATTTCATAAAAAAAGGAAAATAATAACTGAAATGACTAGTTGTGCAACAGTAATTATACTTACTTGAAAAAAGTATTGTTCTGGTTTTTTTTTTGATAATGTATTTATTAGTTTTAAAAGCGTATTAACAATCAAATGGAATATATTAAGCGTAGAACATGTAAGTTGTAGGCAAATGATATAAAAAGGAATTTGTTTCATTAGCTTTTTATCTATTAATTTACCATGTGGCATCGGCCAATAATAAAATATATTATCATTTTCTTTATATTGTCAATTTGATTTTTTATTTTGTTGAATCTTTACTTCTCAAGAAGAAAAAAATATAAAGAAAGAAGCAATCACTAAGCAATAAAATAAACTTACATTACATCTGTATATGTACGTATATGTAGGATACTTTTTGCTAAGCGCAATTTTTTGCCAAGCGCTTTTGTGTAGATAGAACGGACTAAACTGAGTCAAAAAGTCCTCTATCATTTTATAATTGTTGCAATAATTAATAAGATATTAATTACTAAGAATCGTTGAATATTGGTTTTCAATAATTTTTTATTCAAATACTTCACAGAAAAAATTTACAGAAGAACAGCGAGAGAAAAAATTGTTTTTTTTTTTTATAAAGTTCTGAGAATTATTTTAGAAATTTTTTAATATCGTATTTTCTCATGTTGGCAAAAAAAATGTCAATATATAGGGTAACCTCCGTATATACACTTATCAAAAACTTAATTTATTTAATATTATTTACTATGTTTAAAGTAAACAAACTGTACCGGTAAAAACTTTGTACTGTCTACTATTATGAAAAGATTATTGAAAAATCAAAATATTTATTACTCATATTAAAAAATGAACTTTTTGAAACCCTTGCATTTTTTTTTGCCGTATATCTTATAGGGATATATGGCTACTAATAGAGGGAAGGGAGGGGGTTCTACGGCTCATGAAAAATTTACAAATAATGCATATAAAATGACACAATATCTTAAGGAATAAGAATGATAAATATATATATAAAATAACAGATAATAATTATATTCCTTCCTACATATAAAATACCTGAGCCGAATAAAGCCCACCTAACCTATTTTTTTTTATATTATTTATTGGGATATTGAAATAAACTTTGTAAGAATAAAATCTTTATTCCAATGACTTAAAAAATATATACATCTTTTATGGAAAAGATTTTTAAATAAACAAAAAAAAATTTTTTTTTTTAATCTGTGGCTCTTAATCTGTCTCTTTGGGCTTTATTACATGCATATATATTTATACTAAAGCCCTATCACACATAAACGAAAAATAAATTTTTTTTTAAAAGAAACTTTGTTTTTTAAAATAATAAATAA